AAATGTGCTGAGGACCTCAGGACCTCCCTGGTGACACAAGGGGTTAAGTCTCAGCACATTCAAGCTATCAAACTCTCCAAAAGACTTGAGTTTCCTAACCATAACTATAGAAGATCCTTTCCATTTCCCTATAGGATAAGGAAAAGTGAAAATGGAAAAGAAATAAGGTGGAAAACCTCTTTTCATGCCCTGATATGAAATAGCTATTTCTTTCTTTTAAGGATTTATTTATTTGTGCATACAGAACTGGGGTACAGGCCAGAGGCTCAGGGGCGGCAAGAGGCTTCACCAGAGACAGAGTGGGGAGCAGAACAGGCAGATCGACGAAGTACACTGCTGAGGGGAGCAGCGGGCGGGTCAGGAGAGGTCTGCCGCGCCATGTGGTCACTGGGGCAGGCGGGAATCAAACTCATGCGGAAGCGGCCTAGATTCTCAGTGCTGTGCTTTAACCCGCTGCGCCACCAGGGAGGGCCGAAGTAGCTATTTCTTAATGGTTTTCTACTTAATGGTAGAACAAAACCAAATTCACCAAAAGTGAATTACTTAATGATGGCTTTATTTTCTCACAAGGATAGGGAACAGCCCCTGGACTGGGCTCAGCTAGCGGTTCTTCTGCTGGTCTTGCCTAGTGTCGCTGCAGTGGCTGCTGTTCTCAGGCTGGAGGCCAAGGAAGGTCTCACTCAAATAGTTGGCCGTTGATGTTGGTGTTGGATGGGCTTGTCCACTTATGCATTCTCATCCTCAAGGAGGCCAGTCCAGGTTCCCTTACAAGGTGGCTTTATATTTCCAGAAGAGAGAACCAAAGCTGCCAGGTCTCTAGAGGTCTAGATTCAAAGGTAACCCATCATCACCAGCCTGAATTCAAGGGGCAGGGGAATAAAACCCAGCTCTTGATGGAAAAAAGAGACTAAATCAAATGTAAAGGGTTGCAGGGGGATGGAAGTCATTGTATATTAGGGAGATTTTGCAAACAACCTACTCTAGTTTCCTTAAGCCTAGTAAGTCTTAAACAAATTTAATTTGGTTTGGTGCAGATAATTTTCCCAAAGAGATTCAAGAGAATAGAAAGAGAAGTTGAACTAACAAGGAGAAAAATTAATCCTGCTTTTTGCCTCATGTCCCTCTAGTCTTTTGAGTCCCAGAGCAGGGCCAACGCATTGACTGAGAAATTTTCGTTTAACTTAAACAAAGAGGAAGAATCCCCTCTGACTGGATGCTATTTGCTATGGTTTTAATGGTGTCAGGAGATAAGAGGAACAGCTACATCATTTGCAAAGCAAAAATTTTTTGCAGTGCAAATTAAATGTGTGATCAAAAATGAAGAATTTCATGTTAACTCTCAATAAAATGGAAAAACATTAAATATTAAAGCGATAGCCTCTCTTCACGTCAAACTCAGCCCTTCCTACACTTAGGAGTTGTGTTCACTCATGTTGCTAAAACAGGCATCTGTGGGTATATTGGTCCTATTGTTTTTCTTCCTCAGACACAAACCAGAAAGAAGGTCTGTGAGACTCTTCAATGCGTCCTTTTTTTTTCTTGAAGGCGAATGTAACCGAAAGGATCCTATTACTGCCTTCCATTTTCCCAGACTGAGACCATTTGGCTGAAAATTAAATTTTTCCTTCCAAGGAACAACTTCCTACCTATGCAGTATGTCTTTCCTTTTGCCGTGGCTGTGGCTCTACATGATAATTTGGAACATAACATGAAATGCTGACTTCACTTTTAGAACGATGCCCTAAAAATTAATGAGTTTAGGTTTTTATTGTGCTTTCCCTCAAAATTAATGTGTCCTTGTGCGTGGAAGTGTGTGTGGGCATCTGTTCTGCTGGCAAAGAGAAAATGAAGTCCACCTGTTCTTACACTGCCCAGAAGACCCCAAACAACAACAGGCTTTGAACACCTCAGTCCACCCAGACTCGCCTGCAGGGCTGTTGGCTTCCTGGGTGTGCAAACCCTGTGGTGCGTGAGATCCCACACCTGGAGCTCCATGCTGGAAAGCTGTGTGTTATGCTGTTTTCCCTGTTCTGCTAAGATACTGTGAACCCAAACATCCCTAAATAGCTCCTCACTCCTTCCTCAAGCGTCATTTCCAGTGCTCTCACGTCAGCGGGATTATAGCTATTCTAATGAGGCCCCGAGGAGTTAGTCTACATCAGTGATTCTCAGAGGGGGCAATTGTGCCCCTCTGCCCCAGGGCAAGCAGTTGGCGGGGGCAGGCATGGTGTGAGCGGGTTGAAACCAGAGATGCTGCTTAATGTCCTACAAGAACAAGCCCACCTGTCAAGACTAGAAATATCTGGCCCCAAGACACATAATGTTAAGGTTGGCAAACCCTGTCCTAGATTAGCTGACACTTGGAAAAGTGTTGGGGTGAATGGTAGGCAGAGGTTCTGAGGTAAGCACGTGCAGTGGGTAGAAGAAGCTGTGCCTGAGAAGCCAGGGCGGGTCACGCAGTAAACGGAAAGTAGCTGCGTTCACAGACAAGAGCTCAGAAGGAGAGGGCTTGCGACTGATGCTCGACTCTGCTTGTCTGGCCCAGAGATGGAGAAAGGAGAGCAGCACGCTTTGTATTTACCAACAGTGAGAACTGTGACAGGAAACAAGCGCTACTGTGCACCTGTGGCAGGTTGACTTCGAGTGTTGCTAAGCGGGTGGCAGTAACATAACTCAGAGTTGAGTCCTCTTAGTATGAGGGGGCTCAGGAATAAGCTGCTTTGTTATCTCCAAGGGGGATCACATTCATTCCTCTTTCTGCTCCTAAATTCTGAGGCAACTCTGAATTAAGACAGAAGGCTGTGGTAGTCCAGAGCTCACCAAGTCCGGCGTTATAAGCTCTAAGCCTGGAGCTTGTGTCTCCAACCCTGGACCCAGCACGAGAACATGTCTCTAAGGCTGGACATTGACAGGGCAGAACCCACAAGTCTGTGACCCAGAGAAGCAGGGTGGGGGGTGTCCCAGCGGTCTCAGAACCGGTTGGAAGAGCGTGACCCTCTTGCTCACTCTACCAGTCATCCTCTCTCTCAGCAGGTAGGATGCTGGGAGATGGAGGCTAGGGGGGACCTTAGGGGTCCAAGGAGTGACCTTGCTCTGTGTGGAAAGAAAACAAGAAAAGGGGGAGAGACACTCCCCATCTATGTTGCAGACTTGATCAGCGAGCAAAGCAGTCCCTGCCCTCCAGCAACGAGACCAGTGAGTGAGTCCTCAATGTAGACGGTATTGACAAGGTGCCTTCTCTTCCAGAATCTCTGGTTTTATTCCAAGGGATGAAAAATCATAATATAATATATTAACAAACATGGCATTTTTAGACTAGAACACTATTTTGATGGGATAAGTAAGGTATACTGACTTACTAAAAAGAAGTGAAATGTCCATTTCATTTTAGTATTTGTTATTTGCTTCTCTCATTTCCATAAGACCAGTGGAGGGAGCAGGTTGCTTTACTGTTACACTCTAAGTCTCTCCTCTCTACCAGAGGGAAATGACTAGTGGGGCAATATTAGTAAAAATCTGCTTTACTAAAAAGCTGTGTTCATGCCTCACTGTATAAAAAGAGGTTATTCTCTAACCAAAAAAAAAAAAAAAAAAGCATTTAAATGCACAGTATTCATGAAGACATCATACATTTGTATGACTAAGATATTTGATAAAACAGACATTTTAAAATTACTAACTACGTAGAAGACATTTTAAATGAATAAACTAAAGTTTTATTTTTATTTTTGAAAAGTTTCAACTAATGGTTAAAAAATGCAATCTTCCCAGCCCATAGGTGACCCACATGGCATGGCAGACCTCTCCTGACCCTCCCGCTGCTCCCCTCAGCAGTGTACTTCATCATCTACCTGTTCTGTTCCCCACTCTGTCTCTAGTGAATCCTCTCCCCCCTGCACCTCTGGCTTGTACCCCAGTTCTGTATGTATAAATAAATAAATGTTTTTAAAATGCAATCTTATCTGACTTTGGGGTTGCACACAGTAACAGTTTATTTTTCCTTGGGTTTCTGGAAACTGAAAGGAAAGGATATATGCCTCTGGAATGTAAAAGTTGTGGTCAAAAATGTGGTATCAAACTGTGATAAATTTATAAAATTCATCAAATATTTCCTCTAGTTTGCACAGCGGTGTGTCTTGATTGTCTTTTTTCTACATCAAATCTAAACTACAAAGGAAGCACAAAATTAGTATTTACTCAAATACAGTTATAGAAGAGAAAAAGCCTAGTCTTAACCCTTGCAGAGAACCAAGCTTCAAGAACATCTTCTCTTCTACAACATCCCCTCATAGTATCACTTGCAAAAACAGAAACACACCAAACCCTTGCTTTATGTAGGAAGAAACACGCTTCCGGTCTGTGTGGGGGGTAGAAATTCTAAGGACTCCTGGCCTGCTAATTGGTATTTCCTTTCTGTTTTCTTTGAAAACTCCACTGTGAGTTATTTGTCATTTTCTTTGGCCCTGATCCATGGAATATGTCCCAGCACCTCTTTCCAATTAGATATGAATTTCATGTGCTTCAGTCAGGTGTCACCTGTGAACCACAAAGGGAAGAAAGTTGGAATGATGTGTACAGAAAGAGACAGGAGGTACCTTCAGAGGTTATCTGGAGAGGACAAGGCTCCCTACCTCACAGTGTGGAAAAGAGAGAATTTTTAGTCTTAGAACTTCTGAAACAGGTCCGTGAGAGGTAGTGAGGAGACGAGCAAGATCTTTAAAAGGAGGGAAGAATTTTCTTTATGAATCGACTGTTCTGACAATCAAAGAAACGGACTTCTGAATGAGAATCATCTTTATTTCAGAAATAATATTATTCGATTCTGAACCATGTTCATATTTTGTATTTGTATAAAAAATACAGGTATAGGTAAGCAAATACAGTGTCCAAAATTTAAATGCTGACCCATTATTTGTGGAATATAGTCATTTTAAAATGGAATATGATAAGAAAAATTTTAATAAATGTTCATATTTATTCACTCTAAAAAAAGGGAGAACTCATTTTGTTTCTAAATCAACATGATATATTGCAATCACTAGTAGTATATATGTACTTAAAATGTACTATATGTACTATACTCCAAGGACAATAAAAATGCACAAAACAGTAGAACTAACTAGAACACTTAAAATTTAAACTGTTATTTTACCTCTTTACTGGGTAACCTCATAGTCATTTTTCTCCTATTATTAGCATACCTTAATATGAAATATACTCTCTGCAAATGACATAGAAAGTTTTGATTTCCCGGGGATTTGGAACTATGTTACTGCTTTATCGGTACTGTAAGAAATTCTGCAATAATGTTGGCAGCTGGAGTTGTGGAATAAGTTGTAGTCTGTGTCTCCCGAGGCAGCCTCTGATACAGAGTCGGCAGAGTTGGCTGAGAGAGCTGGGGGTCACTGCAAAAGACACCGAAGTATTTGTTACTGAAAATCCTGTTGGACTTTTATATGCCATTAAGCTATATGAAATACAACTATTAAAAAATCAGTGCTTTACAGTGAACTCTAGGGTATGGTGACCTAACAGGGATGTCTGTGTGATTATTTCTATTGATTTGATTTTTAAAGTCTTATTATAATTGAGGTATATATTTGTGCATTGTAAACTTCAGCTTATGAAACTGCTATGACATTTAAAATATCAGAATTTTTTCTGCTTTATGAACAAGGCATATATCAAAAGCTCTAAGAAGTACTATGAAAAAAAGGAAAAAAATGCTAAAACTATATATACATTTCTCAAACTAGGTTTACTATCTGAGCCAAAACAAATTTTATTATAGTCTCTGGACTACACTTAAGAATCTCTTTAAAAACTTCTTTTTTTGCGTGATTATAGTTCTATAACATATTATTGAGTGGAATACACTGATAAAATGAGGAATGTTTTGAAGTTCTGATTAGCAGATACTAAACAGAACCACGTCCTATGGATTCACAAATCGAGTAGAGTTAGCTTCATTAAAAACTATATAGTTTAGATAAGATCTTTAGATATCATGATAGTTTTTCTAAATTATACATCTAATGTGAAAAATTATTTATGCTCAGAAAAACATTCCAAATCACGTGCCACGATCATTTTACATGCCAGCAGAAAAAGCCTTTAGATTTCACCTAGTTCAGCCAAAAGCATTTGGCTAGTTCAAGGCACGCAGGTATTCTCACCTTCATGCTGAAGCAACAATCTTTCCACCAAGCTGCTGGAAGTAGCTACATCTATTGGTCTCAGGAGCTCTGCATTTTTGGCATTGATGTCTGCTCCAAACTCCAGCAGTAAGTTTACCGTCTCCACACTGGATTGTTGAGCAGCAGCATGCAATGGCGTATCCCAGTGTTTGCCTTTCTGTACATCAGCGCCTACAGGTAGGGAAGAGGAGAAATAACAAAAATTGTTAGGTTAGCTACTGACCTTAGGGCAGGAAAGAAAGCGCAGAACATATCCATACTGAGGCATATCTTTGTAAGTGTTTATGGGCATGCATACATCTGCATGTCTCACACACATAAATTAAATAGTAAAACTTGGTACATAGGACTGGAGTGAGCACACACGTTTTATATAATTTTTCTGTGTCCTTTACAGTCTCATAATAAAATTTCTGCTTAAATGTGTGAAGAGTTCTAGAAGTAATCGTATTAAATAGATGATAAACAGTGTACAGTTAAGTTGGCTGATATCTGTTTTTACCATGATTGATAGCTCATAGGGTTATTCAGAAGCTTATTGTGCTGAGTCTTTTTGCTGATTTTAAGGCAACAGAGCTCTTGTTTTCTGGAAAACTAATGAATCTAGATACGTGAGCTACTTAGATAAAATAGGTATAGATTTTGTTATCATTCTTTTACTTAACTCGGTAAATCTATAAATACACTGGGTCTCTTAAAGGTAAAAACACAAATTTCTGTAGGCACAGTAAATTTTTTTTAGAAATTTTCGAGCCTTAAAAATCTTGAATGTTAAATTACCTATCACATAGCTATTTTACTTCAATGCAAAACCTGGTTCGTAGTGACCATTCAATGTTGCGTAATGAATAAATGCTACTTGATAATGTAAATAATAATAACCCCACTTTCCAGCACAAAGATCACAACACCAAAACTTATCTATCAATAAAAATGCACTAAAATTTCACCACTATTTTCTGACACTATCAGTAAACCAGCTGTCTAGAAGGAATAGCAAAAGGGCCCTTTAGCTATTTTAAATATTTTGCGCCAAATGTAAAATGCTTAGTGGGAATACGATAGTCTATGACAAAATTCCTGGAGAGTTTATGGGTGTGGACAGCATGAAAGAGGATTGCAAGGACATTACCTGCATAAAGAAGCTTCCGGACACAATGATATTGCTGGGACATACACGCTACATAGAGAGGGCTCCCCAGATGAGGAATGTCTTGGTCAACATCGATGCCCCAGGATACCAGTATTTCCAGACACTCATGGTGACCTGCCAACACGGAGCAGACATGAGTTTGCTTCCTTAATGACCACCCAGCCCACATACACACCTTAGCCTATGTTCTGTGTGTGTGTGTGTGTGTGTGTGTGTATGCAGAAGAACTGGGGTGTAGGCCAGAGGTGCAGGGGGTGAGAGAATTCACCAGAGAGAGCATTGGGGAGCAGAACAGGTGGATCTATTGAAATCCACTGCTGAGGGGAGCAGCGGGGAGACCGGAGAGGTCTGCTCTGCCCTGGGGGTCAGCTCCCTGACTGGGGATCGAATTTGTGAGACTCAACCCCTAGGCCACAGGGAGGCCCCAGCTCATGTTCTTGTAGTGTTAATCATTGAAAGATGAATGGAGAACTGCAAGTTAATGAAGGCACTTTCTCTGCTGGCCAATTAATCCCGTAACTAAATCACCTTTACTGGCAGCCTCGTGGGTGGGAGAAGGAAGACACGACTCCAGCTGGGCTTTGGCACCGTATTCCAGGAGAAGCTCTGCACAGCTCGTGCTGCCTTGTGAGCACGCATTGAACAGTGGCGTCACACCGTCTATTGTGATTGCATTCACCTAAATCGAACCCCAAATCTAAGAATTACATTCACGGAATGATTAGTTAAACAAACTTAGGCATTTGTAAAAATTATGTGATCTGCTTATAGAAATCGCTGGCAAATGCGTACTGTATATAAATAATGGCAAGTATAGGACACATATTGGACTATAAACAGAACTCTTGTTATTTGCAACAATGTGGATCAAGCTGGAGGGGGTCAGGTTTAAGTGAAAGAAGTCAAAAGGAGAAAAATCAGAACCTGTCAATCACAGACAGTGTTGCAAACCAATGCTACTGCAATAAAAAAATTAAAAATAATGATAATAAATAAAAAATGGCAAATGTAGCATGCACAAATAGGCGTACCATTATCTAGTGATGTGAAGTACAAAAATATCCCAGACCACATTGTAATTATTATGCTACACAATTCTGCAATGATTGGAAGTCTTTCTTAGAGTGCTATGGAAAGTTAAGGCAATTTGAGATCTCTTGTTATTATGAGAAAGAAGAAAAGAAAAGTAAATAGACATCTTTGCAGAGGTGAAATTGTCAATGTTGTAAAAAGTACTTACATTTGCTCCAGCTTCTAGAAGGGTCCTGGCACACGCCACGTGATCTCCCAGGCAGGCTTCGTGCAGTGGGGTGACGTGGTCTAAAGTTACTGCATTTACATTATAACCCTAAATATAATACAGATAATTGTGAAAGGTGAGCAAAGGTTAAATACAATAATCTCTGTAAATGTCACCTGGACAATTATAAAAGTGCTCAGAGACTCAGGCAAATCAGATTTAAGTTGAGCAGGAAGGATTCAAATGGCAAGTCAATTAGTTATCACAGCATCTTGCACCTGAAATAGAACACCATCGTCTCTAAACCTACTGCTGCTTCAAGTATTTGGGCAAAATATTTTAAATATCTTTTTTTTTTAATTTAGTTTGGTTGTTATTGTCATGTCATCTCTGTTTCTAAAACTAAATACTAAAGACTGTTCCTAGTCGGGATCACTGTTTTGATCTATAACATACAGGATAGCCCAGACTGCGTGAAGATGGGTGATAAATTATAGTGAGCTGTTTTGTGAATTGTTATTACTACCTAGGTATAGATAAGTTAACTACTGATCATTATAAATTCTGTTTATGGAGTTAGTCCTTAATGCAACAACTATTTCAATTTGGAGGAGTATCTTAACCCTTAATTTTTAGGGTTACCATGAGAATTAAGTAAGATGATGCTTGGGAAGGAATATGCTCAGCATATAGAAATGGATCATTTTATTATTCGATCAAGCAAATAAACACTTAAGCTTTTATTCCAATTGAATGAATCATATCAGAATTAAAAAAAAAAACTATTAGGATGTGAGAGTATTAGCCTTGTTATTTGTGGTAATTCATCATCTATTGAGAATCACATGAAGCTTCTAATAGGAAGCTTCCATGGCCAACCCCCGTAACATAAACAACACACTCACCATGATCTGTAATAGCAGAATGGACATGAGGAATCTTAAAATGAGAACAAGAAAATAAGCACCCCAAATCTGAATTGCCCATAACTTTTAAGATCCCTCAAATTATCCTTTCAATGATTTTGAACTGGTGACAGAAATCAGGAATTGGAGAGCGAGTCCTAACTAGTCCTCACTGCACCACACTGGGGTGACCAGATGACCCAGCAGCTGTGAAGGTCAAGGTTGCCCTTCAGGTCAAGTGGGGGTGGGGGTGGTTAAGGGGATAAAGCAGCCTCTGACTTGTTGGCTGGCCCCGTCGGTGGATATGAGATACCTGTTGAGAACTATTGCAAGGCTGGTCTCCTGTCAAAGAACTCCCTGCCCCTCTCAGTGAATGTGCCCTTCAGAAATCATTGACCTTTTTACAGGTTGTGGCTGTTTTCTAATCATCCAGAGATGAACCAAGTAGTCCTAAGGCCCTCTTGGACCTGGGAGGCTGGAAGGGAGCATCTTGTCCTACACTTCTTTTCCAGGAGAGGCCAGGGAGCCTCAGACAGACCATAATTCAAGTGGCGACACGAATCCAGGTAATCTGAGACCCAGGGAAGCTCTGTCTAAACTGGGTGACACTGTCCTTCTTCTGACACACCCACCTGGGAGTCCCTTTCCCTTCCATACAGACAAGTCTCAAGACAGTGACTTCCAGTCTAAGCAATTTAAAAATTTGCAGGCCAAGCCAGACCACTTTCTACAAGAAATCTGCATTTTCTATTTTTCCTCTGGCCTGATTAGCAGGCAGCTGTAGAAAGGACCAGACCGCTCAGTAGCTTTCACAGACAATTGTCCATCACATGATGGGTTATTGTAACATAAAAAAAATTAGCGCCTGGCCTGATAACTCCCTTTTGGATGTTGAGAAACCCCCACTAAGTCTGCCATTAACTGTACTTGTGATACAAAGTTAGACATATTTAGAATGAGTCATAAATAATGACCAAAATAATCTTACTAAAATGTCTATCGACAAGCAAATATACTACATGAGGAATCTGAAAGTCTAGATATTTGAAAGATATTTCAAAGATAAATGTGGGTCCTCCCTGGTGGTGCAATGAATAAAGCAAATGTTGTGAAGCTCACCACAGCCTCCTTTGCAGAGTTCAGTCCCCGCCAGGGAGGAGACCCACGTGACTCAGCAGACTCTGCTGCCTCTCACCTGCTCCTCTCAGCAGGGCACTTCATCAATCCACCTGTTCTGCTCCCCACTCTGTCTCTGGTGAATCCTCTCGGTGCCCTGAACCTCTGGCCTATACCTCAGTTCTGTCTGGATATATAAATAAATATTAAAAAAAAAAAAGATAAATGAGAACTTCAGACTTGACTGCTAGATGGTTAAAATAATATGACTACAATACATGAAGCAGTTTTGACATGTGTGGATTGACTTGATGATTGACATCTTTGCTCGTGGGGCAGGGACACATGTCAGTTATGTGGCCAACTTACCTGTGACAGCAATGTCCTCAGAGCGAGAAGACGACCTTGACTTGCTGCTTCATGCAGTGGGGACCTGTCTGCCCAAGAACCTGCCAGAAAACAAAGACACAGAAATCCGTGAGTCAAAGTGAATCCTAACAGGCACAGCCATGTCCTGTGATTTACAAGAGAACAGATTCTCTGTCCAATGGGGGCCATTTTGTCTATGCCAGATCCTAGGAAATTTGGGTCTCATTTCAAGGAAGCAGGCCAAGTCCACATGACCTAGAATCACCCTACTCAGGCACTCTGCACCTTTGGAGATTTCCTTCAAAGAAATGGAGGATTAAAATCACCAGATCTGAGTCTTCCCTGGTGGCGCAGTGGGTTAAAGCACAGCACTAAGAAGCTAAAGCCACTTCAGCATGAGTTCTATCCCTGCCCTGGAGGTGACCCACATAGCGAGGAAGACCTCTCCTGACCTGCCCACTGCTCCCCTCAGCAGTGTACTTCATCAATCAGCCTGTTCTGCTCCCCACTCTGTCTCTGGTGAATCCTCTCACCGCCCCTGCACCTCTGACCTGCACCCCAGTTCTGTATGCATAAATAGATAAATCTTAAAAAAAAAAAATAGTAAAGAGGAGTCTTCAGAATACAAATTGTCTTCAAACATCCATGGGTTCATTCATGCAGAGACTCAGCTGAATCACTCTGAAGTTACCACATGTCTTCCCAGTATCAGAGTTGTGAGAAACGTGTTCTCACAGTCCTCCTGGCTCACCAACTCCATTTCCAACATGTGTAGTCAGTGCTTTTTCCACAAAAAGCACTGTTTTTCTGTTCTTCCTTTAATCTCAAATACATTAAGGTTTTTTTTTTCCTGAAAAAAGTCAATTTTCCTGTCATTTTGAAAATTCTGGCATCTGTAGGAAGAAATCGGTTGGTGCCATTAGCACTTATTTTCAAGCAGCGGGCTATGTCCCCATCACATGGCTGTCTCTGGGTCAGAGAGACCCGACCATGAACAGACAATATAACCAGCCTCCTCTCACAGGGAGAAAATAGCGCTGAGTGTATTTGAATTACTATTTTTCAAACATAGATGGTGAGTGAAATATCTCCCTGGGACAGATTGTTTTATTATGATATCTTTTCTCCTTCAAAAGATATTGAAAATCAGGGCCTCCCTGGTGGCTCACGGGGTTAAATCTCAGCACTATGAAGCTACCGGCAGCCACTGCAGTGCAAGTTCAATCCCTGGCCAGGGAGCTGACACACCTGGCGCAGCAGACCTCTCCTGTCTCCCTGCTGCTCCCTCAGCAGTATGCTTCAATCAGTCTACTTGTTCTGCTCCTCACTCTGTCTCTCGTGAGTCCTCTCACCCCATTCCTCTCCTCTGACCTGCACCTCAGCTCTTACATGCATAAATAAAAAAATAAAATGATATTGACACTATAGCCTCCTGCAGCTGATAATCCTCAATCTTCTTTAAAGTGGGACCCTCACAGATCATGCACAGAAGTTGAGAACCACTGTTTAAAGAGTCAAGGTCTTTAGAGGGACAGTGGGGGTGTTGAGAAAAACTAGTTTCTCGGTGAAAGCTTGTTTGTCTAAATATAAATATGGATCCTTAGGCAGTTCTCACCCCAGGCTCGGTCCAGTAGTAATGGCTGCATTTAAATTCACGCTGCTCTTCTGAATTATGGACTTTTATTTTCTAGCAAAGGAGACTGAGACTCAGAAAGATTAAGGAACTTGCTTGTGGTAACATAGCCTAAACGATCAATAAACTCAAGCCCCAGACTCAGCTTCAGATACAATATTTTCAACTTTGCAATCTTGTTTATCAACACGCACATACGCACATACACACAACACACGCCACAACACGCACATACACACAACACACGCGTTCACACATACACACCATGCTGCACTGTCCACATTTTTGCAAGGAGTAATGCAGTCAATTTCGGTGAGGAGCTACCTGTGCTGCTCTCTCGCATTTTCACTCCTTCATAGATAAATCCCTCTAATCTGAACAGTGTGTTTCTTTTTATTCTCAGCAATAGTCACAGGCCACTGCCCTGAGCGTCCATGTAGAGAAGTTGTGAAACGCAGTGACTCAAGTCAGAGAAACCAAAGGTACAGGTGAGTCTTGAATTTGGTGACAAATTGTCCTCATTTAGCAGCATAAAAATGAAAAGTTCTTTTCCTTCTATTTAGTTCTGTTTCTTAGTCATTCATAGAGCTCCACTGTGCCCTGTCTTTATTAACGTAGCCTTACAATTTTCACAGCTATTTCACTCACTCAGATTCCCCTTCACAAGATTATTCTTTTCACTCTGATTTCAGAGTAAAAGGCAATGAAAAGGCATCTGATCAAGTATTTATAAGAAGAAAAATAACTTCCAGAGTTTTCTCTGGAGATGGTACAAAAGCCATTTAGTTTCCTCTCTGTGTTTATCTCTGGTCCTCGAACAAGAGTAACTGACATATAAAAGTGCCAGCGGACTGCCACTCACTTCCTCCAAGTTCCCTCTTCCTAGCTGAGCTAGTTAAGATGGCTTCTTAACCACGTGGACAAGTCCTCAGTCAAATTGTGTCTCCCAGGTCGACAAGAGGTATTTATGTTATTGTTCAGCATCTCCATGGCTTCCTCACTTCAAACAAAATTATGAACCATTTAAGTTCAAAGGAAAACTATATTGTATCTCCCACTTGCCTTTTCTATATTCGCCTCTCTGTATGGATCTCTCTACATGCATAGATAAAAGGTGTACATATATATGATAAGTGTATAATATGGATACATCCAAGGCTATAGATAGGGAAATTTCTATATGTATTGAAACTTTCCATTTAGCATTATTTCTTAACTATCAAAAAAATTGGTTAGAGAAAAAGAAAATAATAATTAAAAAATTGGTTAGGTAGACTTCAAATTCTTCAAATTTTCAACTGAACAAGAGTTATAGTTAATAGTTGTTAGGCATCTGTTCTTTTTGTATGCAACACTCTATTTTTAAAAGCAGAATTGAAATCATACACATCAATTAATATTTGTGGGCAGGACAAAATTTGGTAGCATGACAGTCATTGCCATAAAATTGGAGTGTAATGTTTTCACTAAATAAAATGCAAAAGTCACATCAGCCATCTCGTTTGGGGAAATGACTGTATTTTGATCCCAGTTTCTAAGATGAAATGTGCTGCTTAAAAAATCACACACATCTGCTTGTTTGATCATGAAACAACTTAATTGTGGAGTGAAACTCTGGAGGACTTCAGAAACATATCAATTTTCATTGTGAATCTTTAAATAAGGAAGTGATGAGAGTAACTCTCCAAACAGCTGCATATGTGAAACCACTGAATACAATTTAATCAGCACAGCAGCAGTAAATGAATTGACTTTAAATAATCAATGCTTAAATCTGTTTGAATTTAAATAATCATTTATAATATTTATAATAATCAAGTATCCCCCTGACTGAATCATGACTTAATACCTTTCATGGTTCTTAATTTAGCTCTCACACATGTCTGCTGAATTTGTGAGACTTGTTCATGATCACAGTTCTGTCATTGTCACTGGATAACATGCATTTTAGCAGATGTTGGGGCTGCAAAAATGTCTAGCAAAATGGCCTTTTGCCTTCATTTTGGATTCAGTGAATGTATGTTATGAAGACCTCTGAGGGGTAGCAAAGCTAACCCTATTTGCAGCTGAGCGTATTCCTGTTTTGTGCCTTTATGTGTCCATCAAAATGATGGCATGAGTCTTCTGGACAACACCACCAATGCTTACTGGCGTTCAAAGAAAATAAAAACGAGAAAAGGGAGATGAGTCATTTAGAAATTAGGCCACACGTGGGCCAAAACATGGAAATGTCAGTATTCAAAGTTACCACTCCATTGCTCACGCCACCAAGACTCCCATCACCTTGGGGAGAAAAAAGCTGAAGTCAGATTCATGCATGCGCATTTGCTATTGTTCTATTAACCTGACCTCCACTGGCATGAAAGAGTTGAAGTTCACGGCAATGGGCAGGAAGGAGCAGGGCCACAGTCAGGGACAGAACCACTGACAGTACACAATGTTGCGTGAGGGATGCCTTGACCCACCAGTCAGGGAAGAGGGTTTATAAAAGCTTCCCTTCCTGGGCTTGGCTTGGAGCGCTCAGCCCCCTCGTCTGCCCAGGGTCCCTGTTGGTTATTATGCCTTGGAAAAGGAAGCAGCACAAGGAGGAAAAGGGATAAGAGGAGGAGATAAGAAATGAGATAAGAAATGAGATGGGGCGGAGAGCCCAGAAGGTCCTAGAGAAAAAAGGCGGAGAGGCCTGCAGGCTGGCTTTGCAGCCCAGCTTCACGGAGACATCTAACCTCTGTGAGATTCTGTTTCCTCATTAAAATGGGAAAAGGCACTGGATTGAAGGAGGTTTAGAAATGAGTATGCAAAGTTCCCACCATATAAATGTATAACCTAAAATACCTGGTATTCTTTGCAAAATACAAATGGGTGAATAAGAAAGACTTTAGCGACCTCCCTGGTGGTGCAACGGGTTAAAGCACAGCACTATGAAGCTACTGCAGCCACTGTGGCAGGAATTTGATGCCCCACCCTCCCCCTCCCCGCTCCCTGGTCAGGGAGGTGACCCACAGGGCACAACAGACCTCTCCTGTCTCCCGGCTGCTCCCCTCAGCAGTGCACTTGGTCCATCTGCCTGTTCTGCTTCCTGCTCTGCCTCTAGAGAGAGGGAGTGAATCCTCTCACTTCCTGCACCTCTGGTCTGTACCCCAGTTCTGTATACATAAATAGATAAATCTTAAAAAGAAAAACTAAGAGAGACTTTAATATGAATCTTAGGGTACAATCTTTTACCTCCTAAAGGAGACTCAAATCAATGATAACAAACATCTGTTGAAAAAGTGCTATCAGCTTAACTAAATTCTAAAACAATTTGATGCTCTATGGATGTATTTAAACCAACAATCGACAATGACATTTTTCATGACGTAAATGATAAGACAAAAATACAGCCCTATGTTGAAGGGGTTATACTTCATACTGGTCAATGAAGATATTTTTATTTGTTTTGAATTCTGC